AAATAACGATAGAGAAGATAGAGGGTTGCGGTGTTTTGTCTGTGAGGAAGAGATTGTAGTGTGAAAATAATTCATGATCCACAAGGCCGCGTATACGCTTTTGAACTTTATCAAGACGAACAATTGAGAACTGGGCAGCTCCGCTCAGCAATACTCTGTATTTTTTGTCCTGATCTGGTCCTTGTAAAACAGTATAGCAGGGGAAATCAGATACTTACTGGAATGGCACAGGAACCGAACCATTTTTCCAGCATCTGTAGGGATAGATCGTATTTATGAGTTCCATCATATATATATATATATATATATATATATATATATTTATCATATATATATATATATATATATATATATATATATATATATATATATATATATATATATATATATGTGTGTGTGTGTGTGTGTGTGTGTGAGGTATTTATTTCTTTGTACACGTTGTGTATATCTACAAGCACTCTACATCTTGAACACTCTTCCCTATAAATATAGAAACAATATATATATATATATATATATATATATATATATATATATATATATATATATATATATATATATAGGTAGGTATTTGTGTATTTAGGCAATATATTTTTAATTAAACAGGTTTGGTTAAACAATTTAGACATATTGTCTTTTTATATTTGTTTTAATATTTTTGAGTCCACGAATCAATTTCTTGATAGCTGTAAAACATTGATTAAGAAAAATACCAAAATTTTCTTTCAAATAATTTTTATTTTCACAAGTACTTTCAGTCTCATCTGAGACCATCTCCAAGGAATTAAATTCTCTGTGTATGGAGAGAAAGAAAATTTTTTGAAAAAAAATTGGTATTTTTCTTAATCAATTTTATACGGCTACCAAGAATTGATTCATGAACTCGAAAGAATTAAAAGAAAAATTAAACATATATGCCTTAACCAGGTATTGAACTCACACTCTTTGGTTCCTGTCACTGTTTAACTAACGCCTTTATCCACTGTGCTATGGGTCCTTAAGGCAGTGGAGGCCTTTCAGAGGGAAATTAACAGGATATAACTGATAACTCACATCCATTAAACATGGCATGTGGAACTAGAAAAGTATATCACAGTGAGCGAAATAAAGTGTTCAGTTCGACATTCCAACCACCTGAAGAAGCGTACAACGGCCGAAACGTTGTAATAAATATGGCGACAAAGATGAGGACAATAGTCCGAATAATGTAAATAGTGTCCATAAACCTCATATCAGAAATATCGACCGATACTAATATTTCCTTTGTATACTTATCTCCTCGGTCCCAACCAGAAACCTAAAGTTAGAAATGGCATCATGACATTTATCATTGAATATTTTTGGAAAAAAAAATTCAACCTAAGATCACAAACATTTTATATTAATTATTATTATTATCATTATTTTATTTTCTTTGATTTCTGGCGTTTACACATTTCTTTCCGGGTCCCAGGGACCTAAGGTTGGAAATGGCGTCATGACACTTTTCCACTGACAAAAAAAAAAAAAAAAAAAAAAATTACATAGATAAAGCCCTTCGTAAAAAGTGTGGGCTGTACTTGTCAGAACAATTTTTGTATCTCCTTGAGGCATGGACTTCCAGGAATCTCTTCAATTAGTCTACTGCAATCTTTCCAACCAGTCCTAGGGCTCCAACTACAACTGGGATTGTTGATGTTCCTATATGCCACATTTTCGAGATTTCTATTTCGTTGTCCTTGTATTTTGACAACTTTTGAATATCTTCAAAGATACATTGCAGTCAGCAGGGACTGCCATATCAATAGGGAGGCACCGTTTTTGTTTGTGGTCTTTAATAACAATATCCTGGCGGTTGGCCTTGATTGTTCTGTCAGTGTGTATTGTGTAGTCCATAGAATTGTAACAGGTCCTATCTCCGTAACCGGGTCTGGGTGGTGTTCATACCAGTTTCTTTCAGTTTCCTTCCCGTAGGGTTGCAGATTTTCCAGTGCAGATATTGGCCCACTCTGTCATGTCGGGTTTTATATTCAGTGAGTTGCCAACATCGTGCAACCTGATACAAGATGATCAATCGTTTCTGGATATTTATCACAGAATCTGCATTTGGGCTGACACAATATTTTTAGTATATGTGCTTGATAATTCTAGTTCGCAAGCATTGGTCCTGCGCAGCAAGGATAAAACCTTCAGTTTACGCTTTCAACCCTGCACTACGTAGCCACTGATGGATACGGGTTTTGTCTCCGTCAGCTTGTTTGGTACGGGCAGAGGCCAATTTTTGTAGTTTTGTAGGACAGTTCTAGTTGAACTAATCCTCTTCCTCCTTCGGATCTGGGCACATACAGACGATCAACATCAGCTTTGGGATGATGCATGCGATAGCAAGTGATAAGCTTTCTCGTTTTGGCGTCCATTCGCTTAATTTCAGCTATGGTTCAGTTAAGGACATTAAAGCTGTATTGCAACACAGAGACAGCCAATGTGTTGATATTCTGATATTCTGTTTTTTGAGTTTAGCTCAGTGTTTAGTACCAGACGTACACGCCTGTAGTACTCTTTTCTTATTTTTTCCTTCATTTGGGGGTGTTGTATGCCATCTCCTTCGCTAATTCCTAGGTACTTATAAGCTTCACCATGCTCCAGTTCCCTAATCTTTGTGACAAAATCTAAATCTATTAAGGGTGTTTCTGTAATTCTACCTTTCTTGAACGTAACTTATTATTATTATTATTATTATTATTTTTGTGAAAAAGTTCCGCGGTATTTTTTAAATCTATAGATTGAGCCTCTCACTCTTTTAAATACCGCCTCAAAGGCGATCATGTCTCACAGATTCATTTAATTTATTTTCTGTAAATTGCTATGTATTCTTGGGAAATATAATGGAGTAGTTTTCTGCTTTCTCAAAGGTTTAGAATTTGAGACACACTGGTGAAAAGCGGTTTGTCGCAAGAAACTTTTGTAGAGATATTATACTTACCAAAACAGCATAATTAAATGACTATTATTGACGCCAATAATAAGGTTTCAGGTGTTGAAATTTCGAGAGTCGATATTTATCCTAGTGGGGCGTTTATTTTTGCTAGAAATATGCTTCATCCCAAGTGACGCAGTTCTAGTTCTTCCAAAAATAATTAAAATGGAAAAGAAATGTGGTTCTTTCTTTACGTATATCAACAACCAAATCGATTGCCTGCCATAATTTCCATTGATACTGATTGGGTGCCCGAAAGCATTTTTAATTTTACAATTCGTATCGTCATTCATTTGTTGGCAAACGGGATAGGCTGGTTAATTTAGCATTTCAACCTCTGTTGGGTAATGGAGTGTCGAATATAAATTCTATAGGACAAAAGTTACAATGCTTCATAATTTATGATAGTGTTGATGTTTATATGCACAAAAAATAAAAATCACAATCAGTACCAGCTTCACGCGTATACTTTGGCCTAAATTTTACCATGAGTGTTCCTCCTCTTTTTTTTTTTTTTTTTTTTAAAATATTTTCGCAAGACCCTTGGAAAATACTGAAGAAAAATGTTCAATTATTACAAGCTAGCGTTTTTGGTCATTAGGCCAATTAAAAGGTTCGTTAATTTTCAATAGATTGAACATGTGCTTTCTACCAACGATATGTGTGTGTGTGTGTGTGTGTGTGTGTGTGTGTGCCCCTGCGTTTTAAATGTTACATTAAATGAAAAGAAAAAATATTTTTATCTGGAAAAATAACCTAACAAGGAACTCAGTTGTGTAGTTCGTAAAAATTATACATAAAAAAAAAACATGTCCAAGTATACTTTACTTTCTGCAGTAGCTAATATTTTAACAATATCAACTCATATCTGGATTGGAATTCGCAAACACTTTTCTATATTTTTTTTTCGGTTCCATGTATATCTATTGGCACAATCTCAGTGCATATCATCGTAAATGCATGCTTTTCCTAGGACATAAAAAAGAAAGAAATTGAACATAAAATAGGCTGAGTCTATCGATCTCAGTTTGCTCATATGTACGTATGTATGTATATTGACCCAAGCCTTGTGAGTGAAATTGGGTAGACGGAACTCTTGGTGGCCATCGATAGCTTGGCTAGCACGAAGCCACAAGTCATCGTGACCGAGGGCTTGAGAGTACTGGCCTTGTTCAAATTGTTGATCACGCTAGAGTTACTTTCTCCCAACACCGCAAATTGCTAAGAAACTAAAATATCAACCTGAAAACTGAGTCATGTTCTTAAATGGCCTCGCCACATCAAGACTTTGAACGACATACATGGTGTCAAACACGGTCAGGAATATGTAAACCGTTACCTGTATACAGACATTTCTTAAGATCAATGGCGAAAAAAAAAAAAAAAAAAAAAAAAAACTTTGAGCGAGTAAAGTCTGAGGATCTTGACCAATATCATCCTTCTTTGAACCGTTGTCGACTGGCGCTATAGAATCACAAAAAAAAAAAGAGTTGTACAAAATGGCAGAAACCACATCACTTGAGGACTACCAACAGCAGCAACAATTAAAATGGAGAGCACATGTAACAAGAAGAGAACATAATGACATAATTATGATGCTAACGTTTCACAATACTTCAAATAAAAGGTTATGATGTTTCTATAGTGGAAAGAGATATAACAGCTACTTGATTGGAGAAACCTATTTTCCTGTATAACTGTTTTAAGAGAAACATTTTATAAATTTCACCCGAAAGCTCGGCCAATGAATGGTAAATGTTTACTTGTAGGGAAACGACTGATATTGCCATTAACATTACATTTACATAGACTCTGTTTATATTTTGTCGTGATATCGTTTTGACAAGAATTTATATACGGTCTAAATTAATGCCCGAGAAAAGACACGTTTCCTTTGAGGTCAAAAAGAAAATTCTATTTTAAATTGTTTACATCTATTACTATTCTGTTTACAATTGACATTTGCTTATTTTCGTGACTTCTGTATGTATTTGAACTTGCTTAACTATCGAATGATGTTTACCAAGATTACCTACCAAGACAGACTATCTATCTATCTATCTATCTATCTATCTATCTATCTATCTATCTATCTCAGTTTGCTCATATGTACGTATCTATGTATATTGACCCGAGCCTTGTGAGTGAAATTGGGTAGACGGAACTCTTGTGGGCCGTCGATAGCTGGGCTAGCACGAAGCCACAAGTCATCGTGGTCGAGTTTTGAGCGTGCTGGCCTTGTTCAAATTGTTGATCACACTAGATAACACGCTCTCTCCCAGAAACTGTAACTAAGGTCTGCTCAGCATAGTTGCAGTATAAACCACAGGTGGGCTCTGTGGTTGTTGAGCGAGCGTCTGCAATGGGGATTGGCTAGCCGCCCTAGGAGACGAATATCCTCGAATACGAGTGGCCAGCTATCTATCTATCTATCTATCTATTTATCTATCTATCTATCTATGTTTTCATTTCTCTTTAGGTTCATATCTATCTATCTATCTATCTATCTATCTATCTATCTATCTCATTTCTTCACATCTGTCTCAGTTTGTTCATATCTATCTATCTATCTATCTATCTATCTCTGTTCATATCTCATTTGTTCACATTTATCTCTGTTCAAATCTATCTATCTATCTCATTTGTTCACATCTGTCTCAGTTTGTTCATATGTATGTATGTATGTATGTATGTATGTATGTATGTATGTATGTATCTATCTATGTATCTATCTATCTCTGTTCATATTTATCTCTGTTCTAATCTATCTATCTCATTTGTTCACATCTGTCTCAGTTTTTTCATATGTATGTATCTATCTATGTATCTATGTATCTATCTATCTCTGTTCATACTATCTCTGTTCATACTATTTCTGTACAAATCTATCTATCTATCTATCTATCTATCTCATTTGTTCACATTTGTCTCAGTTTGTTTATATCTATCTATCTATCTATCTATCTATCTATCTATCTATCTCTGTTCATATCTATCTCTGTTTAAATCTATCTATCTATCTATCTATCTATCTATCTATCTTCATATCTGTTGTGACCAAGTAATTGGTTAAGAAATAACAAAGCAAGAGGTTGCAGATAAATAGTGTATTGAACAGTAAATACAACAGAAGTGTGTTACACGACTTGGGAGTGTGTGTCGGTTGACTAGGGTTCAGGCTTTATCGCTGTTAATATTTAACAGCACCCCCACGGTGTATGTATGTGGCACAGGGCCGAGTTTACCGTGGGTTCTCAGAGTCCGTAGACTCAGCCAAAAATATTCCCGTAGAACTCGCATAAACGGGTTCAGGATCTGTTTACCTCCCCGGACGAAACTTTGCCCTTCGGCAAAGCCTCGTCCGGGCTCCTCTCTGCTCAAGGCACAGAGTTCGACAGTAACGAACAGTCTATAGCACTGTTAATATTTAACAACCACCCCCACGTGGGATGCATGTGGCAGAAAGATAAGTTTACTGTGGGTTCTACGAGCGCGTAGGCTCGGCCAAAAATATTCTCTTAGAACCCGCATAAACGGGTTCAGGGCCTATCTACCTCACTGGACGAAACTTTGCCCGTTGGCAAAGCGTCGTTCGGGTTCCTCTTTGCTCAAGGCAGAGAATGCGTCAGTTACGAACGGTTTGGCACTGTTAATATTTAACAGCCCCCACCACGAGGACTGTATGTGGCACAAGGTCGAGTTTACCGTGGGTTCTCCGAGCCCGTAGGCTCGGCTAAAAATATTCCCTTAGAACCCGTATAAACGGATTCAGGGCGTGTCTACCTCCCCGAACGAAACCTTGCCATTCGGCAAAGCTTCGCCCGGGTTCGTCTATGCCGAGGCAGTGAGTTCGACAGCAATGAACGGTTTGGTACCGTTATATTTAACGACCCCCCCACGTGGGCGTATGTGGCCCGTAGACTCGGCCAAAAGTATTCCCTTAGAACCCGTATAAACGGGTTCAGGGCTGGTCTACCTCCCCGGACGAAACATTGTCCTTCGGCAAAGCCTCGTCCAGGTTCCTCTCGGCCTAAGCAGAGAGTCTGACAGCAATGAACGGTTTCCACCCACCCCCCGAGGCTTACTTTTCCTACTACTTTATAGTAAGTGGAAGAGTCCATAATAGACTCATTAGAGGAAGGACACTATAACAATATCTAAACATGAGTAATCGAATGGATCTGATAAATGCTGTAAAACAGAAAATAGTCAAGTTATTGGATGAAGAAATGTCCAAATTGGAGATATAAAAGGAACTTTGCAGAGATCATCGAACGATAAAGAGGGCTGTTGAAAATATAACTAAGTTGAGAACTACAATAAAGGAAATGGCTTTAAGAACTTGTTACCTTCAAGGGAATTTAAACTAAAGTGATCTATGACGAAACAACAAATTTTGACCAGTGCCCAGCTGTTTGAAGAGGCTGGAATCGAAAGAATAAAAAAGTAAAAAAGGTGTAGAATACTTCGCTAATTGGGATCTGTCAAGAAATATCCTGGACAAACTTCTCTCAGTAAAGCAAATATTTTAAAGCATCAAAGCTGGGTGAAGATATTCAAGAAAATTGACTTTTCTAAAATAATTTTCGCAGGCGAATGTCACGTGACACTCGATGGACCCGATGTATGGGACAAACGATCGATTTTATCCGATTCAAATGTCCTCGCGGTTAAAAGAATGCATAATACAGGCGGCAGTGTGATGATATGAGCTGGAATTGTCAATCAAACCAACATTGAACCATTCAAAATCGATGAAGGAGTTAAAATGAACAGTGCTATTTCGATTTCATATACAAGATTTTCTTTGCATGGTACAATTCCCAGCTTCGTAGTGTCAAAGTGAAGTGTGTATTTATGCACAACAATGCTCCTTTTCATCTATATAAAGTTACTCATGAATTGTTTCAGCACAAAAGGTTTTACAGCAGAGAATATAATGAAATGACCGCCATAAAGTCCCAATCTGAATCCGATCGAAAATCTATGGTCAATTGTGAAGATGAAATTAGCAAAGCAGGCATATGAGAAGCAATTAAAATTATCATACTGAAAATTGAACCAAATGGATAATAGATTGCTGTTATTATAAAGAAGGGTCAGTATATTAAGATGTAAATGCTTCAAATGCATATATGTTTTTATTTGTTATTTTATAAGTGTTGATCAATTGCTGATGATTTTATTACACTGTAATTGAACTAAAAACTGATTTTCTTGATTTACATAATAACTTCAGACGGTAGTTTTTATAATAAATCCAATAACTTTAATAAAAACATATTGAAACTACATAAACATTTAACGCAAGTTTTGTTTTGGGGTCAAACTTATTTGTGCAAAAATTTGTCAAAAATCGTTCAAAGCAAATTTGAGTTTATTGTGGTTTATATGATTTTCATAATAATTTCAGACAGACTATATCTATCTATCTATCTATCTATCTATGCTCTTCCGAATTTGTCAAAAATAGTTCAAAGCAAATTTGAGTTTATTGGAGTTTATATGATTTTTAATTTCAGACAGACTATATATAATTTCAGACAGATATATATATATATATATATATATATATATATATGCTCTTCAGAATTTGGCAGATATTTGAAGAACATTTCAAAATTACTGAATACCTCTACGTTTGCAACATTCCAAATCCATGGAAGGGACTAGCTTATCGGACTCTAACAAACAATTAGACAAATTAATAATATGTCTTTCCGTGGCGACATACCAACGAAATTTCCTAATAATTAAGGAATTTAAATAAGGTAAATTTGTAGCTTGGTTCTGTTCCCGAAAAAGACGTCACCGTCAGATAGATATTTGAAGAAACGAATCCTGCCCAGAAGAGATAGGGTGAGCCAGACTTTGCTCCATCCTACCCGATAATGGGCTCTTGCTGAGTTGAGTGCTTCAGAAAAATAAAGGATTTCACCCCGAAGGAAGGCTCACTTCACATTATAAATATTACGATACTTAAACATCGAGACGCGCCGAGCAATGTTTTCAGGAATGAAATGATTTTGGGAACAGCAATTCAATGACTATCCAGAATATTGTGTGCCTGACTCTTTTCAGTTTGCTAATTATATGCGCAAATTGAAGCCAAACTCTGATACTGAAATTTTTCGTATCTCTATCTATAAAAGGCAAGATGTGTGTGTGTGTGTGTGTGTGTGTGTAACGAAAGCACGGCCTCAATTTTCGACGGATTTGCACCAAAATTTGTTCATGCTTCTACGGCAGTTTTCATGTAGTTTGCGGCCATTTTCTACTGGCCAGAGTGAGAGCCTATAGCTGGCTGCCACGAATAGGCAGGAAGATTCTATTGGCCAGCGTGAGAGCCAACAGCTGACTGACACGAACGTTAACTAGCATGCTAGCATGCAAAAAAAAATTGATAGCTGCATACATCACAAATGGGGAAAATTTAAATCTGCATGCCACTTTACTCCAATTGGCTCATTCGCTTGCTTAAATTCAACGTTGATTCTGATTCCGCAGAACTGGGTTGGGTGTGAAAAAGTATTTGTTGTTAACATTCTTTTTCATTCGTTTTTTTCCAGTTACAATTCCTTTTTTTTTTAAAGCTGATCATTTTGTGTTCATTTTGCTTAGTTCTTTTTTTTCGTAACAGATTTAATGTTTAGTATAGAGCTTAGAAAAACTTCGCAGTGTGAGATAGGCAAGAAGTAAGGCATGTAGCAACATCAGCACGGCAAAGGGCACTCCTTTACACAAAAAAAAAAAAAGGCAAGGAAAGGGCAAAAAATTTTTAAGTCAAGTGATAGCGATTGCTGTATGCGTCGTACGATTTTTGAATCAAGCACGGGCAACGCCGGGCCATGCTGCTAGTCGTTTGATATAACTAGTCTGTTACCGAATGATCCACTAGATAAAACAATAGAAATTTGTACTGACTGATTGTATTTATTGAGTTGATGGGGATGGCTACGAAGACTGTCTCCTTTAGCTTTGACAACTGAATGTATCAACAGGTAGATGGAGTAGCAATGGGTAGTCCATTGGGTCCTTTGTTGGCCAACATTTTTGTTGAATTTCGTGAGAAGCAACTCTTTGATAAGATTAATAAGCCTTATTGTTACGTCCGCTACGTGGATGACACTTTTACGCCTTTTTCCTCCTTGAGTAAAGCGGAAGAATTGTTCTCTCCATCCTTAAAATATACAATTCATTTGCACGAAGATCCAGGGAAATTAATCTTATTACTACACTTACTCATTGCGCTTTGATGTTGTTTTCTGAGTGCAGATTGGACGCTGAGTTAAAGGAGGTTAAACAGCTGTTATTAAGGACTGTTTCGCTGTATCACAGCTCATCAGTGTGGCTATACGTCCTGTTTCCTCTAGCTGGGATCAAAACCCGGCATATTCAATAGAATATTTCATATTTACGAACAAGCTTCTTAGTATCCTTCTTAAAGGAAGAAAGTAAGTACTTTCGACATTAGCACAATGTCATCATCAGGGTGTTCTTTTTTCTAACAAAAAATTGTTGTGTTCGTCTGAAAGTTAATTTTTTTAACTGTGAAGATAAAAACGCTAAGGTTATGTACTATTTAACAATACCTGATGATGACATTGTGCTAATATCGAAAAGTACTCAGAATAAATGAATATGTATCAACATGGTAATTTTCTCTCTTCCTTTAATAACGATATTAAGAAGCTTGTCTGTGAAAATGATCGGTTCTTATTGAATATATATATATATATATATATATATATATATATATATATATATATATAGATAGATAGATATAGATATATGTGACAATAGGAAAACTGTAGTTATTGCTGACGCGTTCCGTCCCTTGCGGACTTTATTCTCACGTCCACTATCCAGAATAACCTATCCCATCTAAATAATCTTAGGATAGTTACAAACACTTCCAAAACCATTATGGATATACTAAGATCTTCAAACACTAATAGCAATAATATTTCTGAAGCAGACATTTATAAAATAAATTGCCAAAACTGTTCCTTCCAATATATTGGAGAAACAAGTAGAAATTTTAAAAAACGCATTTATGAGGACAAAAGAGACCTCACAAAAAACAACTTAGCTAATGCACTAGGCATACACAGAAATAAATTCAACCATAATTTTGATTTTAAAAATGCTACACTCATAAAAAAAAAGAAAATAACTCACTCAGAAGGAAAATTCTAGAGAGTGCCGCCATAGAATATTACCCAATTAATCTACGCCCAGGCTTTTTCCCCTTATTCACTTTTCTTAAAATTACTGCTCTCCCAAACAAACGTACACAACAATATCGTAAAATCAAAAGAAAATGGTTGAATCCGCCAACACAGCTATAATGACAATATTCTCCACACGTGACAATAACTGACGTTATTTTCAGTTAACAATATGAAAATAGCGTTCTCTACATTCCTCCAGTTGCTAAGAACATTCTATTTTTTGTGATTATTAGTTAGTTTCTTTAATTAAATTCATTTCGTTTTTTGCTTTGAGAAAGTCCGCACTGGACGAAACGCGTCAGCAATAACTAGTTTTACTATTGTCATTTATATTTATAAATATTGTCTTTTCTACAAGTTAACTCTGAGAATTTTTCACATCATATATATATATATATATATATATATATATATATATATATATATATATATATATATATTAATATGTAAAATTTGTATGTATATAATATACAGCCAGTCCCGCTGTTCATATATGTTTATATTTGTGCGAACTGCAATGCGTGGACGTGTGTGTATGTATGTCTGCGTACGTATGAATGGAATTCCGACGACAATTTTTCTTCCCACTATCATAAAAACACCGATATACGCAACCATATATAAATTTAAATTTTAAAAACTAATCAGTTTGTCTGTCGATCGCAAATAGCGTGTAACCCAGGGTCACAAATTTACATCAATCCAACTAAATATATTTTTACACACACACACACACGCGCGCGCACACACACACACACACACACACACACACACACACACACACACATATATATATATATATATATATATATATATTGTGTGTATTTAGGCAGTATATTTTCATTCATGCACGTTTCATTAAATAATATAGACAAGTGTTGTCTATTTATTTTATGTAAATTTTTTTCTTAACGTCTGATAAGTTTAATAACATTATCGTTGAACGAAGAAAGAAATTCACAATATTAATCCATGTTTTTTTTAATACAATCTAATCTTTCGGCTTACATAAGCCATTATCAAAGATGTCAATTACAACATATTAAGCAATATATGGACACGACAGTGATGATAGTCTGTCATTGTTCACATAGATGATTTCTAAGCAACGATAAACACGTGCATATAAGACGCTAGATCTCATGACGTCACACATGACCACACGAGAGTGAACAATTTAATTTTTTTGCTAGGATCTGTAGTTGATATATTAGAATTTACTAAATTTTTTAGTATATTTTCATCTTGTTTATAATTAGTATGCATTTGATTACGATATAGGAGATTAATATGTTTGAGATCAGTAGAAGAAGTATTATGTACTATTTGCTTAGTATTGAGATTTTTAAGAAAGCATCTTATTTGTTCATCAACTATATAGTTTGGAAAGCTATTATTAATAAGTGTTTGTTTTATATTCTTTAGTTTGCTGTAAAAAATCTGTTTTCTGGATGAATTAGTTTCTGCACGGTGTATTAGATTCTTTATAATTGCTATTTTGTAGTAAGTGTACATGAATTTATGCTTGTAGGTTTTTTGTATGGCGAAATAGTAAATTTGTTATTATTTGTGTTTATCAATATGTCAAGGAAGGGGATTTTATTATTAGTATTGAGTTCATATGTGAATTTAAGGACAGAATTATTTTGGAAACGTTTTTGAAGTTGAATTATTTCATCTGTATTTTTAACTAACATAAGAATATCATCAACGTACACACACATACATATATATATATATATAATACAAATATAAAGTTTGTCACTTAACTCATTGGTGTTGCTTTCAGCATCCTAACTCTAGAGCTTCGTAGACTGACACTACAGCAATCGCTCCATCCATTCGTCAGGGAGTATCAGCAGTTGACTCTTTATATTGCTCACTTTTTCTTTTATGTATGCACTTTTCATTGGTGGAAATAGTTTTTGTTCATAGTGAGCGTTTGTTCTTGTGTTCGTGTGTGTACGCACGCAAGTTTGACAGTGCGCTTACTCGCCCGCCTGCGTGTATGTGCGTACGTGTAGACCATTGTGGTTATTTCTCATTTTCGTTGCTTTTTTATACGAGGTGTTTTTGAGAAAGTTCTTCTCTAGACGCATTTTCCAGTATTTGATGCCATAAACCAAACGTTAGATTAGTTTTATAGTGTGTGGCGAAGAAATTTCTTGGTAGGTTTTGAACTTTTCAGCAGCCCCTTGTATATAGCGAAGTTTCGATTTTCTGAAGAA